AAAAAGCTCTACAAAGTATCTATCAATTTCTTGTGCCTCAGATCTTTTGAAAGCCTTTGAAGGAGTACTATTGACCGGGATGACAAGCCTCTCCGATGCTAACGATCCCCTCCTTCACTTTCGACTCATGGTAGCGTTGCTCATGTTTTTCATTCTGTGGCTACTGCTTTAGATAGGAGTTCTGGAACTGTTCACCATATCTTGTTCGATGATACCAATACCTGTGGCTTGGGATCTGATGTGCTAAACGTTCGTATAAATCACTTCATTTTTTAGGACGCAAATCACTTCACACAATGGTAAAAACTTTGTCTTCATTTAACTTTGAGTCTGGTGTGTTTCAGGGTACCAGTTTGGCCTCATTCTGTGCATAAACAACCTGCCTGTTCCTGCTAACCTCATTATCTGCAAGTGTGCTGACGATGCGGCAATTCGGGGCCATTTCAGTAGCAAGACAGTCTGAACGACGCTTCTTGTTGGTCCGTGCTCCGAAATTTTGTGCCGGTTTTTTCCAAAAATGTGTTAATGTTCATGTCAATCTTAAATCACGATCCCGCTATCAAACTACTTCTAATGATTTACCTGAACTCATCGTTACCGGTCACAGAATTGTTGAAGCTGATTCAATAAAAAAATCTCGGTATCTTTCAATCTGACAACCCCTTCTTGATTAGCCATAGTAGTGGAGGTTTACAAAAGGGTTCGTAAATGTTCTTTTTGTGCTTTGAGGCTTAGGAGTTTTGCTATTCCCCCAAAATCCGATTTCTAAATCTCTGGTCGTGTGCATCTTTTCCAGGCACCAGGCACTTATGATAGTCTTTGGTGTGGGTTTCACTACTTGGAAGATCGGTAGTTCTCCACTAATTGTATGCATATAAATGCGATGGAAATGTTTGTGATAACCAACAAAGAACAATGGACAGCTGTTTCCTGTCCTGTTTGGTTGGGACTCGTCAGCAGTGCGCGTACCTTTTGTGTGTGTGTCCCTGTCTCAGGACTCGAACCACGATCAGTCGGGTCGGGACTTCAAACCCTTACTGCCCATGAGCTACATGGTCGACGGTTATCATCTTATGCGAATGGCTCAATCAATTTTAGAGTATCAAGCTTGTATTAGCCCATTCGATTGTACAGAGGCACCCGGCACCCTTGATCGTCTTCAGTGTGGGTTTCACTCCTTGGGAGATCGGTAATCCCCCACTAATTGTATGCATGTAAATGCGATTTGCAGACCCAGTAAAACCGCTTTAAGAATGTTGTGGCATAGCCAGAAATGTCCTGTTGAATTTTATTCTGTACAAGCTGGCATGTAAATGAACTGCTAATGGAATTTTGAGCAGTGCAAATCCTTGCTTGCAATAACGAACTTAAATCCTTTTCTAACCTCATGTACCCATTGATTGTATAAGCCCCTTCATGCACGCACTACCACATTTCGTTAACCGGGTACCAATTAGTGCAATTGTGCTGTAGCCTCTCTAGAGTCAGTGTTTGTTTCAATACCATTATCTTCTTGCTCGTGAAGTGCGCTCCTTTGCTTAATAATTTTCATTCCGGTTGTTCCAGTGTATTCATTCTCGTGAAAATAGCTAAAAGTTCATTTTTCGAGTTCATGAAGCCCAATTAGACTAGACTAGACTCACCTTGACAACCGAGTCATAATCGAGGAGCCTTGTACTCAGATGGATGATGTGTGATACGCACAAATAGGCTTGACGAAGATGAATTGTGCTGTACCGTGTGACAGCAAATTGATAAACAACGGATGACGCGGTGGATAGTATGCATGCTTGCGTTCTACGTGTGAGGTCCCGGGTTCGCGATCGGTCGATGAATGATGATTCGTAACATTGCTGATGAGACCCCCTCCTCCAATCTGGTCGGAACAGCTGTTCATGTCTTAGCGACTTGTTACAATTCATGCGTGATTTCAGGACGAAATTAAATCATGAAATACGACAAATTTCGAACGTGCTGTTGCATCAAATGTCTGAAAATACAGCACAAATTGCAACAGACTAAACGACTTGGGAAGTGAAGACATAACTGGGGAAAGAGACCAGTTTAGTACGGGGGGGGGGCGGGTGTAATCGTGATCAGTGGTATGAGCAGTATGGTTGTGTATGGAAGAACGGTTTAGGTGGGAGATTATGAATTCATCCACTCACACTATGTCACCGCCCCCACCCCTATCCTTTCTTCACACAATAATACGCATTATAAGGATTACATCATCGCTTTCTGAACCCTTCAGTCCCTATCAATTGTGTGTTTCTTCCCATACACCACCATCGGAAAACAGATGGGACGGAATTTCTGGTCAATTGTTTCCGATCAATCTCTTACCGGAAGCGCACCAAAACCTATCTGCCCGCCCCCTCCCCCCCAAAAAAACCAGTGGATTGGATCATCCGATTCAAAAGTATTATGCAGTGATTTATGTTTTGTCATCATTTTTGCATGACCGGTTGGCTGACAGGAGAACAAATATACATGACACCACACGCGACGAGTAGCACAAGGTCAGTGGCGGCTAGACAGATCGAACGGGGAAAAGAGAAGCTCACAAAAAGAACGGCAATAAGTCGAGGTTGCATGAACTTAAAGTGGTAACTGTGTCTCGGGTAGAATGCGAGCAGCGAACGGGATGGGATGGAAAGCGCAGTGTGGATGTGTGATAGTGGTAGTAGTAGTTTTACGGAAGCGGAAATAAGGATAACGTATGAAGGAATCTGGGGCAGCAGTACTGTTGGATGTTTGTGGAGCATGCCTGTATTGGAAATGGCAAAAGAACTGAATGTGTCTGGTGGGCAAGAAGCAGCTGCATTATCATGTGTGTGTGTGTACACCTGTATGCTTTCAGGGCAACAAACAATCGAAATGTCGTGATCAAGCAACCGGAGATCACGACAGTGGGGCAGCATACAGTTTGCTTACGATGATGATTAGCATGTGAACAATAGCGGTTCCCGCAAAATGCTTGATGGATAGTTAGGGGGAGAAGAACTGTTGGGGCAACAAGTGTATGGAGCAATTCAACACATTGGATTGGTGGATATCAAACCCCCCGGGGTTTTAATTATCCAACTGGGGACAATAGGTAGACGGGCAGCAACGAGAACCAAAAGATATCGATGAAACTGCATGAACATCTATGATCGAGATCGGAAGGGGATTAGAAGACAAAGACTGGCTTATATATGTGGTATAGTATAGTTTATTTCAAGCATATCCTGTGGCACACATGGCAGGCGGATGTAGTTGGGCGGGGGATTATCACAAGACTGAAAACCTGACGTCTAGCCTAATCACGTGGGTAAAAGAGTCATGTATACAATCACCACGTGGTCCGGGTGAGACGACGATTTGCGAGGAGACACGATGGAGGAGAAGGCATCAACCAAAACGGGGGAGTGGGTGGGATGAATGAGGAAAGAACGGTGAATAACACAGATGAAGGATGTCGCATATGCGTTGTGGTCACTCAAACCTCTGGTTATCGATCAGTCCTTTATCCGTCTATCTATCACACAGGCGAGTAGAAGCAAGAAATCGAACAGTGGAGTAATAGACATTATCGCAAACAGTACGCNCGATACGAAATAGGACCGTGCGCTGTCGTGCTCAGTCAGATAGGACAAACGCAGGCATAACACAGGTGCGTATGTGTGTGTATTAAGTCTCTGTATTGATTTTGAAGCTGAAAATGAACACGGTAGGAGAGAAAGGGAAGTGGGGAAGAACGAAGTGTATGCGCGCGTGCCACACGGTAAGGTGCATGCGCAGGTGTACACATAGACGTTATTTGGTGCATTTCATTATTCGAACGCTTCGCGCGCCTAGCGGAATGACAAAAGCAGTCTGATGGATTGCAATCTGGTAAGTCAGTTGAGTGATGTGTGTTTGTGTGTGTAGCATATAAAACTGTAGGCAAACACGAATGAAACAGAGGCAACCGATTTTGATCAAGGCCCTATTGCGTGCGCGAGAGCAAGGGATGAAGGAGAGTGACATGTTTCGGTTCAAATGTTCATC